TACATTGTAATGAAATCCACAAAAGTTCTTACATATAGCCGACATCTGTGTAGAACAACTGCTTTGGCCAAGATGATTTCTGGCCCTGAGGCCCTACAATATTCATCACTACTTTTCTACCTTTGATAAGTGACAAAAGTGCTTTTCATCAATTACAGACAAAAGTGTTAAGTCCTTTTCCTCCCTAACATGGACCTCTAAAAAGTGTTCTTTTAGGCTAAATAACTATTTAGCTCTCTTAATGATGGGTCTTGTTTAAAGAAAAACACAAAACAATCGCCAAGTGGCTTTAAGTAGCAGAAAACTCTACTTTCAAGTTAAAAAATGTTTAGAGTCCAACCTCTATGTATTAAGAAACAAAAACATACCTCTATAAAATCTCACCTCTGGATTTTATTTCACTGGAGTTGTTGTAATTGTAAAGATGCTTATCTGCAAATTGTAATGGCTGCCATTTTATTTTAAGAGTACATCTAAACCACAAAATTGAATTCAAGGAGTACCTTCATAGCCTTTATTAGTATGGCAAATTTAATCAAAGTCAGGCAAAAGTTATAATGGAACATGCAGAAACATGAAATACCAAGTGGTTAATTAGAAACAGCTACCACACTTTGAGCATAAATGATTATGTACAACCTTCATCTATAAAGAAACAGAACTAATGACCTTCTATTAGAAAAGTCTGTACTTACGGTTATCCTATCCAACAGTCATAATGGATCTGAGACCAGCCTCCTATGTGACTAAAGGTCAGCCAGTCTTGTCATGTAACCCATGAACTCCTGGAAGCCTATTTAGACCTCCAGTACACCCCAAGTATAACGTACGGTAGGAACACAAAGTACACTTGGAGAATCAGACTCCTAAAGAGAAGTAAAAAGCATGGCTGTGAAGAGCACAACTTCAAGTCAGACCGGTTTGGATGGCAATTTTGGCTCTTCTGCTGACTAGCTGGGTAATCTGGGCAAATTATTTTATTTCTCTAAGCCCATCTGACATGTATTGAGGAAATAAGAAAAACATCTACCTCATTAGAGATATTGTAAGAACACACATACATACATGCAATATGTACATGCAGATACATGCAGAACACACATACATGCAGAACACACATACATACATGCAGATACTATGTGCCACAGTATCTGATATTCAGCAAGGCTCAATAAATAAATTATAATTATTATAAAGAAGATAGACTGCCCAAATAGAGACCACAGCAAACACTTGACCCTGATTAGAACTATCCCAAACACAAATGTTTCTAAGTGAAGAACTTTATTCAAACTACTGACAACCAATTTCAAAGATGTAAATGGGCTAGGTTCCTTTAACCTAATAATTTTCTGGTAATTCCCAAATGTGCAATGTTTAAATGTTATCAGTCTCTTTAGGTAGAAGGTCCTCATCTTCAGCTTTCACACGTGTCCACAGACTTGCACCAAACTTCATACGTTAGTATGAAGAAATGTACAAACTCATTCTCTCTCTTTTCATCACTTTCTTTCCTCTCTCACTTTCTCTCTCTCTCTCTTACACATTCAGGGAAACGACTCCAGTAACAAACAAGCAAACTATACAAATGAACCCTGAAAGTACAGTCTTGAACTGTATACTTTAAATGGGTGAATTGTGGAGTGTGTGAATTATATCTGAATAAAGATGTTATTTAAAAAAAAAAAAGAAATGTACAAACTCAAATGAGACCAGACCTTTGAGTAATTCAGTCATCCACCCACTGTTATATACAAAGGAAACATTCAAAAAACTATCAAAAATTAAAATCTGAACACTGAAATCATGCATCACAAACAAAAGATTTCTAATGTTGAGTTTAACATTGAAAGCAAATTGGGACAACCTCCAAACAGAAAGTTTAAATGCGGTCTTTCAATTGTATTTTCCTAAGTTGATGGTAAAGAACCTTTAAGAGTCTATCTCCCCCTCTATCAAAGAATTTGCTGTTGCCAAAAACAACAACAAAAAGAAAACAAACCGTTAAAATCTAAAATTACCCAGCTCTGAGTAAGCTGTCTTTTCTACTTAGAAAGCAACATTTAATGCTTCATATTTTTTTTGTTCTTGTACCAAAGTTAAGGGTTATCTAAAGGACTTCCCTCACATTTTGGATCTATGCATGTGGATTCATTTGTTCTTAAATGCTTGGCATCTATTACCTAACAAAGTCATATCCCCACAATAATTGCCCCCAAATAAAGTACTATATTAGTATACCTTCTAATATCGATAAGAAATAAAGGAGATAACCACCAAAGTTATCAAAATGGAAGGGAGAAAATGTTAAATTTTAACAGACATGCTAAAGAAAACTCATTTTCCCTGCTTTCTTTACAGATTTCCTACAGCCAATTTCTCAGATATAGCTAAATTTTCTATTACAAAGTAAAATGAGGTGTAAATCATAATGAAAGGTTAATTTTCTAAAGAGAAGTCATTGTCATTTCCAACAAAGCAACTATTGTTGAGAGTCAGATTCTTGGACACAGTGGTGAAACAAGGCTGCGGGGGAAAGCATACTTAAAGGAATGTCTCCACCTTTTCCAGTTTGTAATGTTAACAAAATTGTACCTTCAAAGTGGAAAAACCATGTAAAATCTGGTTTTCATTAAATGAAACTACCTTAACCCCATGCAGTATATTTGGAACAGAATACATTTGATTAGCAATCAGTCAACCTTCCATTACTCATCTATGTGAGATGGCCCTGCAATTTCTTTCAATGGGAGCCTTTCCTTTTAAAGCCCCAGGGAACACTCACAGATGCCACTCTCTGATTTAAATAACTCCAACAAAATTACAATAAAAACGATGGCAGATTTAGCTAGGGAACTTGCAAAAGTAAAATCAAAAGCCTGAGATAAAGAGGTAAAAAAATCCCTACCACAAGCCCCTAAATCATGAATAAATTATTAAGACTGAGCAGGAAATAAAGGAATATTCTCTGGAGAAAGAATGCTATTTCTAATTTTTTTTTAACAGAGCAAATTTTTTTAAAAAAATGAGGCTTAGGAAATATGCTAAATAAAGAAAATTCTAATACAAAACTGTTTTTAATAAATATATATATATCAAATCAATTGTTGTATTAGTTATGTTAAAAAGGCAAGACAAGTCAAAGAGATTTGATGCTCTTTGTAAATGAGGAACCCCCAACTACTCTGAAATGGTGGATTATTTAACACTCTTGGAATGGTTAACCTTTATTTAGTATGCCTCTTTTGGAGTTCTATTATTTAATACAGCCAAACGCAATTTTTTTTCCCCAATTAGGTTTTCTTGTACTTGTGAAATGCTCAGCATACACAGTGCTGGCAGCTTTAGTTCTACAGCTTTTCTCTTTTGGCTCCTTCCCGCCCTCAAACCCCCCCCCCCAAAAAAAAGATTTCCTTCCCAAATGTTCTCTTCTCTGCATTTGTCAACAGAAACACCCACTGGTGGTGTCAAACTGGTAATGCTGCTGCAGGCTTCCTTACTCCCGGTTCCAGTGTCAACGTCAAAAATGCTCAACCCTAAAACAGTACTTTTAATACAGAAATTAAAAGGCTTGGTAGATACTGAACTATCATATTCTCAAATATTTAAAATACACACCTTTTATAAACTTATTAATGAGCCCTAAGTGGGCTGTGGAATATATTTATACTAACCCCTTCAACACTAAAGACACAGGGACAAGTAATTATAGTTGCCTCACATTCTATGAATAAAATATTTTAAAACACTTAAAGGAATTAAAAACAAATTTGCATCCAAATGTCATTCACATATAATTCCGAACAGCCTCGGTAAAGACTTCTTTTTTTGTAACCCTACAGCAAGAAAGGAACAAGCTGGAAATGTTCCAGCAGATGTTAAAACGATAACCCTATTCTATACATATTTATGTCTCCTGTTTCAGTCACATGCTCGCAAATTAATTTGTATCTTTACATTAACTACATAACCATCACGTTCAAACAAACCTAAGTCAGATGCACGGAAACAAATTATTCTATGTCAACCAATACTTTCTAAAATCAGCTTAAATTTCAGCCAATTAAAATAGATTGTTAACAGAATAATGATCCGCAACTACTTAACTATCACCGCACTCGTCTAATTACACCGTAGAGATACTAAGGTCAGGCTTTTCTTATTCAGGCATCTGTGCTTTAACACTCAAGTGAAGCGAAAAACAAAACCCTGAAGGAAGATCTGCTTTTACACTGAAATATGTTCAGGTTATTTTTTCCCCCAACGTGGGCACAAAACGTGTCAATGCGAGAAGGACCTGTTCGTTCTGCGAGACGGTTCCAAACCCCAGGATTCAATTTCTATTAGGGTCCAAAGGGTATGAAGGTCCGAGAAGGGGCCAATTTCTGCTTCTTCCCACTATGCCCGTGGTAAACTTCATAGCAACGCCTGAAACTTGTTCGGGAAACGTTGCGGGAGCCTCGGAGCCGACAGAGGGTCTTTAGCCCACCCTCGCGGGCAGCCAAGGTCAGAAGGGCCGGGGACGCAGCTCGCAGCCCCTGGCAAGTATGTGGCTCCCTCGGAACTCGGGCAGGGGGCTCCGGCGCGATGGCTCCTCCTCGGCACCAGTGGAGAGGGGCTTCCCTCGCCGCAAGCCCCGAGGAGCTAGCGCCGCGGGGGCGGCGGGGCGGGGACGCCGCAGACCCGCTGCCGAGGGGAGCCCTGCGGGGCGGCCTCGACCCGCCACCCCTCTTTCACACTCTCTCGCCTTCCTTCACACCCCAAAATGAAGCCCCAGTCACTCCGGGGAAGCCCTTCCGCGATGAAGCGCCAGAGAGGCCACTCCAGACTGGGACGCCTTAGCCCCGTCGCCCCGCTCCGAGGGGACCAGCGCCGCCGCCCCTTCTCTTCTTCGCCCAGGGGAAATGGGTGAGTCCCCTCGCTTGGGAAAAACTGAGTGGACACGGGGCCGAAGTGTCACTGAGAAGGCCTGGCAGGTAGGTGCCGGCGCCACTACTCACCCAGCTGAGTCCCCCGCCTCCAGCAGGGGACCCCACAGCTCCTGAGGCCGCCGTCGCTTCTGTACCTTCCCCAGCCGCACAGACAACTAACCGAAACCTCCGGCCCCGCCCTCTAACAGACGCGAACGCGCAGCCTAATTTGCTAACTACCCTGCCCCGGCCGGAGCGCTCGGACCAATGAGGAAGCCTCTCAGGCCCCGCTGAGTTCCGCCTTCGCCACGCCCACTTTTGGTTACAGCCAATACGGAGAGAGCGCTCGTCCTCGGGCTCGTGCTCGCGCATCCTGGTCGCGCAGCTGGTGCTCGAGACTCCCAAGCCAGAACGCTGATTCCCCGTACAAGCTCGCTTGCGCGCGCACGCGCACGCGCGTGCCGCGCCTCCTAGCACGCCAGGTTTGGTTGCCCCGCCAGACCCTAGCAACCTGGGCTGGCGAGGCTGGAACGGGCGGGGCCCAAGCCTGGAGCTGTTGCCGGGGGAGGGGGAAAGGGAAGGGGAAAGGGAAGAGGGAAAGGGAGGGGGGAGATCGTGACTGAGAAAGGGGTGGCTGCGGAGGAGGGAGGGGGCGAGGAGGCCCCGGAATCCGCCTGTCACTGCGGAAAAAAAGGGGGAATCCTGCCTGCAGCGCAGCTATCCTGGCCTCCCTCCGAAGGGACCCGTGCGGGGGGAGGAGAGGTCGTGGAAGGGAGGAAGAACACATTTGGGGCGGGAGCTGAGGCACTGCTTGGAAATAAAGGATGGAGGATGGTTTATCTCTGTCGTTGGTAAAAATGATGTGGAAGTCCATTGCTGCTGGTGCCCAACTGTTGCAGCTGCTCATACACACACACACACACACACACACACACACATATATACACACTCACACATATACTCATCCAGCAGCCTGCGATCCCTTGGGTGAGTTAGGAGCAAAGAACTAGCAGCTTGAGGATTCCCTACACAGCAGTTGGGTGTATGCAATGGGCTGTTGCAGCAGCAGCCCACAGCTCCACTTGGGTCCGATGCTCTGCTACACAAGATTCCCCAGCTAGCATGAAAGCAATGAAGTCATCGCCCGACCAGGAGAAATGTAAAGATCTTAATACCCACCACGGACCAGGTTTCCCAGGAGAATGAAGAGGTGATGAAATGGAACAAGATATATTTCCAATGCAACTGTTTGAAAATTAAGAAAAAGAATTTTTAAAGAAAGACATTGCAGACAAATCTATGTAAAACTGCATAGGAAAATAGGGTCTTTTTTTTGGTTTTTAAGACAAGAACATAAGATATGAAGTGTATGAGGTCATAGCTGACACCAAATTAGAAATATGCAGTACTGTAATAGGAAATAGATATCTTGGATAAAATCCACTTAAGCTATTGCTGTCGTGAATCTGGTAACAATATGTAGTATGCTGGGTTTGAGCCCCTTGATGCCAAGTCAATATGGTATTCTTTTTGTAACATGGTGAATATTCGATAAGGAAATGAAAGCGCCTGCATTTTCTTTAGCTTTTCAGGAGGTATATTACAAAATTTTACAGGTAGGAGTAGTGAATTAGCAGTGAGAGAAAATGGAGTCAAAGGCAACAACAGAGGGCTTTGCAGAGTCTCCTGCCTCCTCCAGATGCAAAGTAACAGTGCTGTGACCTCAAGCTTCACCCACATGGAGCAATCGCTCCATTGTTATCCCTGTAGTTAGTGCTTTTGTACTAGGAATTTCAGCAGCCTTACTCTAAATCAAATGAAGAATGGTGTATCTGTATAGATCCAGAAGAAGATAAGGAAAAATCAATAACTGAACATCCATTGAAATAGGTCCAATTTAGTACATGGGTCATTATAAAAGTTTTGGGGTACATAAAAATCAAGAAACGTAAAATCTGCGCTGATGGAAGCAAATGAAGTTAGTCCTCCTAGCAACGCTCATGACCAGAGCAAGCCGAAACCTGCAGAGGTGAATGAGAAAAGACACAGTTGACTGTGTTTCTTGGAAGTGAAATAATGGGCCAAAATGCAGTCTGTCTCAAAACTTTCATAGTGATTCATGGATTACATAGTAATATTTGCTGTCTTATAATGTGCCATCCATATATACAAATAAGACCTTCCACTTAGGAACATTTGCTTTGATCTGGTTTTGAGTAGTGGTGAGGGGTTTCTTTTCTTTCTTTCTTTCTTTCTTCTTCTTTTTTTTTTTTTGACAGAGTCTCATTTTGTCCCCCTCAGTAGAATGATAGAGTGCCCTGGTGTTACAGCTCACAGCCACCTCAAATTCTTGGGCTTAAGCAATCCTCTTGCCTCACCCTCCCAAGTAGCTGGGACTACAGGTGCCCACCACAATACCCGGTTGTTTTTAGAGGGGGAATGAGGGGGATCTCACTCTTGCTCAGTGCTGGTCTGGAACCTGTGAGCTCAAGCAATCCACCCCCCTCAGCCTCCTAGAGTGCTAGGATTGCAGGTGAAAGCCACCATGCCTGGCTCTGGTGAGGGGCTTCTTAAAGTCACAGCCAATTCAGTTAATTCCTCTTTGGGTCAAAAGCTAACATTTCTAAATTAGCCAGACGTTACGGGGGGTGCTCGAAGCCCCAGCTACTCCGGAGGCTGAGGCAGAAAGATCTCTTGAGCCAACAAGTTTGAAGTTGCTATGAGCTAGGTTGACGCCATGGCACTCTAGTAAGAGTTAAAAACTTATCATTCAGCCACTTAACTGTGCTCTTGTCTTATATGGAAAGAACACTAATACCACTGAATGAATGCCTGCTATGTGCCAAGAACTTTACATATATTTAGGGTTGCCAGATAAAATATACGATGCCTTATTAAATTTGAATTTTAATGGTCAATGAATAATTTTTTAGTATAAGGATGTACTTTTATCCCAGATACATGTGGGACAAAGCTATAAGACTAAAGACCTCTAACCCTTGTCAAAAAAACAAAAAACAAAACATTTATGAAATGCCCTCTGGGTTTAGACCTCATAAGGCAATCAGGAAATCAGGATCTGGGAGAAAAGCCTAAGAACCATACCAATGTGTAAATTTGTAGTGTTTGTAGAAAGAGGCATACATATTATACTAAAAAATTCTTTGCTATGTATCTGAAATTCAAATTTAAATGCGCATCCTCTATTTTTATTTGCTAAATCTGGCGACCCTAGATACATCATCTGTAATCCTCACAATTCTCTGCAAGATTCTTACATCTTCCAGAAGAAAAAACAGTTTCAGAGCCTCCCTAGCATCTATTTGCTCCTTTGCCCTTCCCTCAGAATCCCAACTGTGTTCGGGTATCTACACCCTCCACACTTCCAAGGGCTGAGTCCCAATTAGGATCAATAAATGTGTGACCCAATTAGAATGAAGGAAAGGACTTAACATCCCATGATTCTAGAGAGAGAGTTTTTCCCTGTAGATCCTGCGAGATGAGCAAGGAAACAAGTACCTCAGTTGCAGCTGGCAGCCATTTTGTGACTAAGAGGAAAACCCGTCTTAGGTCAAAGCCTCCACATTAAATAAGGCAGAGTTGAAAAATAGAAAGGAAGAAAAGAAAAGAGAACTGGGTTCTTGATGACACCACTGAGTTGCTCAATTAAACGTATTCTGCCTTTTTCTTGCATTTAAGACGGTTTGAGTTAGAGTTTCTATTAGATGCCACAGAAGCATTGCACTACAGATGTCAGAACACGAGCGCTACTCATTATGAGTCTCAATAATAAATAAACAAGCGGTAATCAAGACGGGAGACATTTTTATCCTGAATATATGTGGGACAAGTCTAGAAAACGAAATAAGCCTCTATTCATTGTCAAAAAGCATTTATGAAATGCCCATCTGGGCCTAGACCTCATAATGCAATCAGGATCCAGGAGAAAAGCTTGAGAATCAAATCAATGTGTAAATTTATAGTGTTTGCCGGAAGAGGTGAGTATTAGTTATTCTTTAGCCCTGCTCAGAGCTTAAATCACACTGTCAGATCTTACATGTTTTCATTTAACGTTTATACCATTTGGGAAAAATGTCATTTTGGAAATTTCAGTCCAATATGTCATTGTTAACTATTTAATCCCTGTTCTCCAGGCACTAAGTTTAACCATGAACAGTGTGAAAAGAACGGAAATATTGGCCTCAACACCTTAATCGATGTCCTTCTGCACCTTGAAGGACTGCAAACTTAACTGCAGTTCTTTCTCTCTTTTAAATTTTTTCCAGGACATTGTTGTTGCGACCAAATGTGCTAAACAATGACTACCACAATCATAGACAATGAGAAGTTAGCCAGAGAGCTATAAATAGTAATCAAATCCTAATGTCTTGTAGGAGTTTGGTAGCAAGAATTAAATAAAAGCATTTTTGTTTGTTCCATGTTAAAAAGAAAAAAAAAAAGGAAGGAAGGAGGGAGGGAAGGAGGAGAAAAAGAAAGAAAAGAAATGTTAGCTTCAAACGACCCCAGAAAGAAAACCACACCAGAATAGAATGCCATATGAAAGTGGTTTGTTGCCATGGCAGTGTAGCTTAGTGGCTACAATTATGGACTTGGGAGCCAGATTGTCTGGGTTCGAATGCTAGCTCTACTTATGTTTTGGGCAAATTGCTCAACTTCTCTGTGGCTCGGTTTCCTTCTCTATAAAATGGAGATGATGACGGTAATAATAATGCTTCCCTCACAGGTTTAAGTGAGTCGACTATTTGTGAAATGCTTAGGAGAGTACCTGGCCCATTGTAAGGACTTTATAGGGATTAGCTATTACTGAGCAGGCTTAACTCCATGGGCTATGGACATGAAGCAGTTTCTTTTTCTCCAATCATTGTTTTTAGAAATGTTTTTTGGCAAATTTGCCTTTCACATCCTTTCATATTTTGGATAATTTTTCTGACTTTTAGGTCTTTTTCAGACATTACAAATCAATCCAATTTAAAACTTCTTTCCCCACCTTCCTACCACTATTACCTGCCAGGCCTGTGGCTCAAGGCACCCGAAGTCACCAGGGGATGTGGTAAGTACTTATACTTCTCCTCCAGTTCCTTGGAAGGTGTGGTCAGTTCCCTCCCCAAGCCTAACTCCTCTGACCACAGGGGATTATAGGAGACTGAAGGGAGAAGG